AAGTTAAACATAAAAACGGATCCTTGCTTTATTAATATAGGCATATGTACGTTTGAAAAGAGTATGAGACAGTACATACAGTTCTTATCAAGATGGATTTATGTTCTTGCAAACAATAAGTGAAACTGTTCTATTTTCTTTCCATTTTCCCTTGGCTACATATACTATATTTGCAATATAGTTGAAAAAATACTCGCCTGTCGCAATTGACAGCGTTCATCGTACCACTTATAGAGAGATAGAAGATTTATTTTGAGAACATGTTATAGATAAAATAAAAATCTGTCGAGAGATATTTCACAAAAGAAACATCACCGTTTCAAATACTGATCAATCACATCAAATGGTTTGCGTCAAGTTGTCAAACTCGCTGCATAATGCGAAATCAAGCCAGTTTAACTTCAATGATGGTCAATAATTAAGAGATACTAAAATCTAATTGATCTTTATGGAATGGAATGCGATTTTAATGCAAAAAAGCAGCGTACTTTCTATACGGTTAATATCCAAGAATGACAATGAAGACTAGTGGACGAGAAGAAATTCTTCTCTTTCTTCAAATTAACAAAAGCCTGCTTTCTGATAGGATATTATGCTTACGTCCCATGACGGATCACATTGAGCATATTAACTAACACATAGATCCGAGATGTCGCACTCAATAGATGCTCTTATAGTTATTATATATAATGGTAATGGAAATGAGATCAAGTAGAAGCGATGAATTTACTATGCATAGATCAATTACAAGTCTTCTCTACCGTCATCGTACTTCTGAAAGCAAACTTTGAGAAGCTTCTATTCTTTTTGGTGAAATATAATGAAAATTTCTCATTGTACTCCTTTGGTTGCGGATGATATATGTGTTTAGATGAAAGAATGATTGGCTTTTCCATCGTAGTTTATGTTACAAGTTTTTCGAATATCAGGTAGACTGTATGAAGTCAATGTAGTATCACTTGAGATTTCCAAATACCTCTCGGTCATAACGACAGAGCTTGGAAACTGTCGCACCGGATCTGAACAAAGGCTTATCGGTGGAAAATGAAACCATCAAAGCGATCCAAACGTTGACTTATTGTTGTTAAGAAAGGGTGGAGTGGGCGAGGGTGTGTGTGTGTCTTATAAAAATGTGAATTTATTCTTGTCGAAAAAGAAAAAAAGCAGAGCGAATGAACATATGAAATCTTAAATCTATGCACAAGTGACATAGATGTTCCATGGATATATGGCGAGCTTTGTATGGAACAGATCGATGAAGTCAAAGCAAAAGTGGGTTAGTGGCGCCTTGTGTGAAGCTGAGTACAAATGTGTGTGGTGCGCTGATGCAAATCTTCTCTTGTTGTAGAACCGAAAGAATTTGTTTCGGAAGCCGACGAATGGAGAGTGGAAGCTTGCGTTTTTCTTAAAGAGCGGTTGGATAAGGCTTTCCTATTCTGAATCAGTGTGTCTTTGAATCAAAGTTTCAATAAGTATTGTGATACTTTAAATATCTTACATAAGTTAATCCTCTGAGGCCTTTTGATCTCATCTAAAAGAGAACACATTCAAATCTAAGACATTTGTTGATTCTGTTCACTTGTCAGAAAATAAGTGCGTGACTGTTCTTCAGACGAGAGTCTCTTGTAGTTTCTTATATCATCATAACACCAATAGTCAATTCAAATGCTGATTTCTGAACACGAGAGGGAGATGTCTTTCTTTTTTTCGTTTCTTCTCGCGATGCTACAAGCTGTCAAGAATGAAAGAGTGAATCACACAAACTTTGTCTAAATTATATTATAAATGTGTGAGAAACATTTATCATTCATACAGAAGAATGTTTGGTTATCATTTAGTTACGAAAGTTGAAAAGGCAAGTTTTGTTGAATCTTATGATAAAGAATGATTTTAAAGTGTGTTCTAACATGTTGCTCTATGTAATTCAACGACTTTTTTCGATATTAGGCCGAAAGTTCAAAATGAAAATCGTCTGCAAGTGGAAAGCTAGATGTATGGCAAATAAAATACTAAATTTGACAAAAACATGAACTATTGATCGTCTCCAGCGTGACTTTGATTACCGCACAAAACGTTTTGTTGACTTTTATTTATGATGCTTTTAAAATAGTACCCATTTTGGCACTGTCATCTGTTCTAATCTTGTTCATATATGATGATGACGAAGTAATTTTATATGACACGACAGTTCTGTACGCTGCGAAAGCTTTCCAAGGAAGAATGAATGTATATTAGAGTGTGGCTAGTTTGGTTTGAAAGAATAAATTAATCTCATGTTATTATACTCACACCATCTTTATCAGTGAAAAATTTCTTCTCTTTTCTATAGAAGATTTGCAAATCAATCAACTCTGTGCAAGGATTAATGGTACAATCAATCGACATGCCGCCAAAGATACAGCATCACAAATAAGACGATCCATACAGAAGTCGCTTGAAAACCTTTGTTTCTCATATGATTTCAAATTTTCACTGTAGAGCATCAGAGTAAAATTACTTCGTTCTATCTCACTACTTTGAGTTTCAGAATTTCGATCCGTTAGATATCCACTGTAAAGACAATGCAGTGTGAACAATATATGAATATGAAATTGAGTCGAATGAAATTCTATTCGACATTTATTATTCATTTGAGTGAAGAAACACAAAGAAAAACAACGGTAAATATACAATTCAATAGAGATCATATGAGCTCATTCTTAGGCACATCGTCCAATTCCAAAGAATGAGGGAATTATGGTGAAGAATTTGTGTTTCATCGTGTCAGAGTATTTTTCTCCATACGATGGATCTATTATCGACTTCGATTGATTCAAGATCGAAAATATCATCGTTGTTGCGAGAGGAAGAGCGACGCATTATACAGACTACTAGATAATCCCACAAAAAACAGGAGAATATCGGGGTGGTAAAACTAAAAAGTGCCAGTACTGCACGATGAAAACAACTGCTGTAATGAACTCCGTACGGAACACACACGACGAGAGAAGCGCAAACAATCCGTAGAGTACGAACAATAAGACGACTGTGCTGTCCATCTATTGTAAAAAATACATGGAGTAAATAAACTTTAACTGCCATCATTATTAGCACTACAAGTCGACTGAGCAGAAGAAAATTGTCAGAGATACAGTCCTTCAAAATTTCCTCGTCGGTTGTTTGTAAGACAGAACATCGGAGTTCGTCATAAGGGATTCCACATGCACATGGCCGCATGGTATCGCGGCTTGTTGAATTCGACAGACGTAAACGAAACACTTGATCATGAAGCACAGCTAAATGACTGTGAGTGGAGAGCAAGTAAACTGTAGCCAAGAAAAGAATTGGAGCAAAAATTCCAGCGAAAATTTCAGCGAAAACTTCATTTTTCGGTGAGACCCCATACTTAATTTTCGCATCTATATTCAGTTGACGGATCTTAATCATAATAGAATCAAGGTTTACCGCATTAAATCAACAAAGGCAAATCTGAAATGAAGTAAGAAACACATTTAGGAAAAAAGAAGTGTATTGCAAAGTTTGTTCGAATAAACTAATGAGAATGAGTATTAGACTTGGAGTGATATAGTCTAGGTAGAAGTCTATATCGTACTACGGACAAATAGATTCTATTGACAAGACAATGAAGAAAAATAAAACAGGACAAGTGACCATTCTCTATGAATTCAGGTATATGTGCATCTACTTCCTATGAAGATGAATTTATCTGTTTGGAGACCCAAAATGACAATATTCTCTCTTGTTTTCTTTCTAACTTCGGTACAAATACTATATTTGCAACATAAATGAACGAACACTTACCTTTCTCAATCGATGAGAATAATGAGACAAAAATGATAGCATTCACTATACTTCGTATAGAGATAGATGAAATAAATAGTTTTCGAGAAATATTTCACAAACGAAATGTCAACATTTCAAATACTGTTCGATCACATTAGATGATCCTTGTCGAGTAATCATACTTACTACATAGTGCGAAACAAAACCAGTTTAGCTTCAACAATGATCAATTATTAGGAGACACTAAAATCTGATTGATCTTCACGGAATGGAATGCGATCATGTTAGTGAACTATAATCACAAAGCAAAAATTACACTATCAAAACGATCAACATTCACGAAAGACAATGAAGTCAATGTTAAGATAGATAGGTAACGATGATGAAGGTAAGACAGAAGAGAAGAAATTCTTCTCTTTCTTCAAATTAACAACAGCCTGCTTTCTGATAGGATATTATGCTTACGTCCCATGACGGATCACATTGAACATATTAACTAACACATAGATCCGAGATGTCGCACTCAATAGATGCTCTTATAGTTATTATATATAATGGTAATGGAAATGAGATCAAGTAGAAGCGATGAATTTACTATGCATAGATGAATAGCAACTGTTTTCTACCATCGCCCTAGTTGTGAGTACAAACCTCGAAAAGCTTCTATTCTTTTTGGTGAAATATAATGAAAATTTCTCATTGTGCTCCTTTGGTTGATGATATATGTGGTTTAGAGGAAAGAATGATTGGCTTTTCCATCATAGTTTATTCTGCAATGTTATCGAATACCAGGTCGACTGTACGAAGTCAATGTAGTGTCACTTGGGATTTAAAAACGCGCCTCTTTCACATAGCAAAAGAATTCGACAACTGTCGCACCGGATCTGAACAAAGGCTCATTAATGGAAAATGAAACTATCAAAGTGATGCGAAAATTGACTTATTATTGTTAAGAAAGGTGCATACGGAGAGAGAGAAGGAATTCAGCGTCGAAGACCTTATTCGTCAGAAGAAAACCACTAGTTTGTTCATAGAATTTTCAAAATCTGAGCGCTCAGCCAGGCTCATCCTTATTTGCGTAAGTGTTACTAGTGTTCAGTTAGATTTCAAAACACAATGGTTACACTACCACAAAATTTCATGTTTTGTTTGTCAGATTATTTTGCGTCGATCGAAGTGGATTGAGCAGAAGCTGTGGTCAGATATTGCTGCAAGTATCACGACTAGATGTTGTTTCTTTCGTGTAGTATAGAGGAAAACGATGTAAACATGTGTCATACTTGATTTGAAAGAAAATGCTCACACCCAACCCCACAATCACCTCTAAATGTATATTATTCGTTAGCATCATTACTAATAGATGTTACATTTTCAGAAGATGAGAAACATGTTTCTTTTCCTCAGATTCAACGCAGATACACTTTTCTCTAGTGATATCTATCTCGCTTTACTCAATTGGAAATTTGTTCAAAACTTATTTCTGGGAAACATTTATTAGATTATTTTGTACTTTTTGGTAACTCTAATATACCCTAACTGAAGAAAGACTTTAATATTCTGAATCTGAATTGTCTCCAGAGCGAGTAAACCGCTAAAATCCAATCCGATATGATGAACGTTATGAATGAGTAATTTTCACCAGATCTAAGTTTGATATTGCACTCAACGTAGTGTCTGTAGAGAGTCTCTTACAATTAGACACATAATCTCTGACTTCGTTTTAAATTTAAACTAAAACTTAGAATGTTCAAAAATAAAACCTATGTCAAGCTCACTAACTAACGAATAATTAAATCTCTCAAAGTCCATTAGAAATATTCTCGATACGTTGTTTTGATTGTTTCAATTGGATGATCTATAACGAAGGAGAGACTATTGCATATGTCTTCTTCACGAAATTTTGATCTGAACCTACAAATCAGGATGTATCATCTACATGTGAAATAATCGATTCATTCAATAATCCCGGCTTAATTTCACATTCGTTCACTGTCGTTTTCAATTCGCCAGAATCTCATCTCAGCAAAAATACGTTCGTTTGCTTCTCCACTCACTTGTTCTTCACCTTTACCAGTATTCATCACTTTGCTTATACGGCCTGAGCGGCAAACAGTTACAAAGTTCAAAGTGAGCCGATATTTTACTTGAACGTCAACGTCGAGAGATTCAAGTGATCAAAAATGGAATCGATCAGCTGCCAAGTAGAGACCAATTCCTTTATATGTTTCAGTTGAGAAAAAAGATAACTTCGTTTGGAGTTGCTGAAACATACAATACTAGAACGTTAGATTCCATGGTATTGCACAATCCACAGCTCAATGCAAACGCGTCTTACTTTGTGTTCCTAACCTTTGTTGAGATTTATAGTAACTGCATTTATCATTTGTTGGATGACGATATTCTCAACCAGTGCGAAAGTTTCTATGAAATGATGAAGTTATTGTTTTTCGATTTCATTATAGAGCACCTCAGACGAAACAAATGCGTGAAGATAATCGTGGTCGGCCGTACATCAGAGACATGGCAGAAGTCATCGAGTTGCTGAATATGGGTCTGTGACGACGGCGCATTATGCATACAAAGAGCCAAGTCGCTCACAGTGTTCTCTCGATGCGTCTTGTACAGTTTCAAAATGACATTCCACCAACATCACTCGTAAGCCATTGAACTCAGTGGCATGACTCTGTGGATGATCTGTTGTATTCTAGACAAAAGATGATTTAACTATCAGTACAATTCATTTAGTTGATCTCGCTGGTAGTGAACGTGTTAATCGAGCGAAGACAGTCGGTGAACGAGTGAAAGAAGCAGGCAATATCAATTCATCACTGATGGTTCTCCGACGATGTTTTGAAAATCTTCGAGAAAACCAGTCACAAGGAGCCAGCAAGATAAGCTTGATTTTCTATCATATATGGTCTCAATGTGTTCGCCGCACTTGTTGTAGACGGTTTCACATCATGAATCGAAGATGACATCGTTTTTCAACAAGTTACTTTGATGGCCAGGGAGGAGTCGAACGGTACTTTGTGTGAATCCAACTGTTGATGGATATGAAGAAATCAAGTAGACCTATCGTGTTGAATATCTAGGATTCAATCATTTGAGCTGTTTTGTACTTCTAGTGTGCAGTGAAATTTGGAGAATCTGTTACCCACGGTAACCGTTTCGTTGCTTTTATCTATTTTATTTTTTCTTTTCAAACTATATTCGACTGCTCATCACATAGCTATAAGAACCGAAGCGTATGAAAAAAAATAGAATCGAATTTTTCGAGAAAGCTGCAGTCCAGTTAAACTTCAGCTGGTGCGTCTACTCCGTAAAAATGACGACCAAAATGAAAAGTAGCAGACAAAAACACACAAGAATAACAGTAAAAAGTTTCACTTTGTCCCATGTGATAAAAGTACTGTTCATGGAAAGATATTTAATCCCAGGTCAACAAATCCGACACGGGAGCCGTAACCATCGGAATCCGAAGCAATTCCGTCACCAGGAATCCTATCGGATTCCGATAAAAATCCGATGGAATCGATCTTTGTTGAATTGAAGTTCTCCGTGACATTCTAAAAAATTGTTTTAATGAATTCCGTGTGTAAGTGATGTTGTGGAATACCGAATCCCGACGTAGTAGATGCTGATGAAGCCAATCGATTTTTCAATCCAGTCGTAGAGTCCAGGAAGTTTGGCGAAGCACAGAATGACAGAAACCAATGATCCCATGCCACTGATAACGACAGCGCTATATGGGGCGCCATAGATAAGTGCTATTAGCAGTTGGCCCAGTAATGCTCCTATAGAGTACAATATCGGTAGAAATTGACGGTCACCACCCCATAAATTCGTTTCGGGAATCGCAGTTAGATGATAAAAAATGATGAAGAATAAAATGACCAAAAGCGCAAGTGCCGCGGTCATCCATCTGCGATCCACCCTCTTTCTAAAATTCGAGGGTGAGGGTGAACATTATTGGAGTTGATTTTGATCCAGTCTGTGCATGTCGAAAACAAATAAAGGTTAATTATAGTTTTCTTCTTAATTTCAGAATGACTCATTTCAAAAAATTTATAGGTCATCTATGGAATATAGATGACTCACCGTCGTTTGTCTGGAATGACCAGTTGCCTGGATTCTATGATTCATACTGATCAGACCGATGGGATCATAGTAAATCATCGAATCGAGGTACATTCTGTTTTTATCTCTATCTCTTTCGGACGATTGCATACACTCTTTTGACTTCTGCTATTAACATGTGCTGCAGTGAGAAAAACAGCGCGGATCATGCGATCTATTTACCGATGATTGCTGTATTACAATGAGAGTCGGTCATCATCGTTTTCTTCATAATTCTGATTTACACTCGTTTGTATATCTTGCAAAAAGGCTTCTTCTTAACTAGGGCAACCAAAAGATCTGATTGATGATCACCGACAGAAGCACACCTCGTCCTCAGGTTATTATGGCACGGTGGGTTCCGGCCGGTTGGGTTCGCTTTCCGACCATTTCCTGCAAACTTCGAGCTGGAAACGGTCAGGAACTGATCGGATATTTCCTGTGCAATGCCGGCCGGAATGATCGACCTGGGTCAGAATGGATCAAAGCTTCGAACTCGAACAGAAATATTTCTTCGGTCCTGTGAGGTGAGCCGAAGTCATTTTCGTTCTTATCGATGCTACAAGATGGATTGTCTTTTACAATATCAAAACTGCACAAACCCAAGAACTAGGTCATTCATCTGGTCTCACTTCGATCCACCGAATAGTTCTTCCAGTGGTGCGATTTCTTTGCTAACGATATTCTCAGTAAAGTGTGACAAGTTCAAAGAAATGACGAAGTTATTGTTTTTCGATTTCATTATAGAGCACCTCAGTCGAAACAACTACGTGAAGATAATCGTGGTCGACCGTACATTAGAGATATAACAGAAGTCATCGAGTTGCTGAATATGGGTCTGTGACGACGGCGCATTATGCATACAAAGAGCCAAGTCGCTCACAGTGTTCTCTCGATGTGTCTTGTACAGTTTCAAAATGATATTCCACCAACATCACTCGTAAGCCATTGAACTCAGTGGCATGACTCTGTGGATGATCTGTTGTATTCTAGACGAAAGATGATTTAACTATCAGTACAATCCATTTAGTTGATCTCGCTGACAGTGAACGTGTTAATCGAGCGAAGACAGTTGGTGAACGAGTGAAAGAAGTAGGCAACATCAATTCATCACTGATGGTTCTTCGACAATGTTTTGAAACTCTTCGAGAAAATCAATCACAAGGAATCAGCAAGGTGATGTTAAATTTTTCTCATGCATGTTCTTCAAATGTGTTTGTTGTAGATGGTTCCATATCGTGAATCGAAGTTGACATCGTTTTTCAACAAGTTACTTTGATGGTGAAGGTCGTATTCGAATGATCCTCTGTGTCAAGCCAACTGTTGATGCTGTTCATCGTGACATTGAATTCAGGTAAGTTCATGATGTTAACCGAAGTTATGAGTGATGGAATATATTGTAGTGTCAAGCATTGATTTCGAAAACAAAATGAAGATCAAACTGAATAGACTTGAACAGCAATGCGTGAAAAGGAGAAGGATTTTGTGTCAACTCTAAAGATCAATGAAATGAAAAACGTCGAGATTCAGATTCGTAAAGATGGACGACAGCACGATGATAAGATAAACATCATCTGATCAACACAGACAGACAATACATTCGCGTTGAAATGAGCATCTCTCAGAGCTGTGATAGATGCGCCTTTAACTGACATGTCTATTAGCTTAATATTCTCTGTGTGTTATACAAATGTGAATTTATTTTTGTCGAAAGCGAAGA